GGGGGGGGGGGGATCAGTTTAAGTTCTATTTTTTAAAATCTGAGTGAGAAACACCCGCGTTTTTCTTAAAAGATATTTTTAGTTAATGATCGGTTGCTACCACTGTATTGCCATATTCACCCCACTTTTCACTTTTTCATCCTCTGTTGCCGTTGAGCGTCCAGGGGATATATTTTTTTAGTTATGATCAGTTGCTACCACTGTATTGCCGTATTCACCCCACTTTTCACTTTTTCATCCTCTGTTGCCGTTGAGCGTCCATGGGAGATGCAGTTTTTTATGGAAGGTAGGCCAACTCTGCAGCTGTTTCAGTTGAGATGTAGTTTCTCACGGTTCCATTGACTTCTTCAAGCCATCTTTTGACTTGTCTTTCTCTTCTTTTGTAGGCTTATTGAATTGTATATAACAACAACCCCCCAACAAACTGAATGTTAATCTCCGACTTCCCCCATGTGTGGTTTCAGAGTAACCCCCCTTGTGCTGGTTGACCTGTTGACCTGTGATGGACCAACATGGCTGCTCCCTCCCTCGGAAAGCTGGACGCCATTTGTGCCCGACTCAAGTCCTCTCAGCTGCCCCTCGCCTCACCGGCTGCCTCCGATACTGAGCGACAGAGCAGCGACTCAGAACGCGGGCAGAATGGCCTGCATGGCTCCACACCGCTGGGGAAGTGTCCGGTACAGAGGGGTCAGACAAATGGTGGGCCGGCTCCCCGCGCCTCGACCTTCATTGGTGCAGCAACGGTCCTGGGAGGTGGTGGTGTGGGGGAGGGGGGCGGGCTAGAGGGGGACAGAGTAACGGCTAAACATAGCCACGAGGGCTCTCTACAAAATGGCGGGCCAGGGGGTCTACCCACAACGACTTCTAGCAGTATTACTTCTGTTTGCAACAGCAGTGGCAGCAGCAGCATCAACAACAACAACAACACAGATGCCGCCGACTTGAACAACGAAAAGGATCCTGTCTCCGGCCTGGTGGCCCAGTCTGCGCCAGACTCAACCACCGTGTCCCTAGACTGGTCAGTATCCTCCACCACCGCCGACCCTGGCCGGCTGGATGCTCACAGGGGCCGGGCCGATGAGCCAGTCTCCAGCTCTGTCCTCTCCACTGACATTGATGAGCTCAGCGCCAACAAGTGGTCAAAAGACGGACCTGGCTCTCAAACATCTCCCAGAAATCCTTCAGGTGTGCCTGAAACCTCTTCTTCTTCTAGTGTGTGTCACAAAGGGTCGGAAGAATCCTGCGGGTTGAGAGGTAGCTCGACCCCCCTCAGTGCTCAGGTCTCCTCAGCCGATAGTTGTCCTCGGGAAAACGGTCACTGCTCCTCCGAACAGGATTTGAGTGCTGTGAGCTCCAGTAATGAGAACCCGAAGTTTGGTTCTGACGCCAAAGATGATGATGAAACGGTCAAACAAAACGATTCCACCACTGTCTCAGGCTCTACATCGGCGGAGTTGTCGTCTTCCTCATCGACGTCACCATCCTCGTATGACTGTCCCCCATCTCTGTCCAATGCTCAAACCAACAAAAGTATTCCTGTATCTTGTGGTGGGGAAGCCCGCGAGAGCCAGCCCACACCCGCCGCTCAAAACCTCGATGGGGAGCGTAAAGAGTCGGAGGGTCAGACTGGGGGCAGGGCTCAATCTGACGAGAGAGAGAGCTTGGCAGAGAAGACAACTGTAGTTGGGGAGAAGATGGTGTCGACTGAGAGCCCTGTTGCCAGCTCAGGCAAAGACGCCACCCACCAAGAATTCGTTCATCAGCTTGCAGAGTCGGCCACTCAGGAATCAGCATCGAAACAAACTCCGCAAAGCCACACAGTCGTGACGCCTCCATCAACTAATGGTAGACGGAAAAGTCGCAAGCCCTCAAAACCTCGGAAGCAAATAACGGAAAAGTTTTACTCTGACATCACAGATGATAGTTCGGCGTCGGTGTTTGGGTACCCCAACGACAGCGGTGATCTCTTGGATCTGGAGCAAAACGTGGCTGAGAAACAGTCCAGCCCGACGGGGAATATCTCAACAGGGGATAATCCATGCATAGGGGGCACCGGGAAGCCAGGGAGGAAAAGCCAACTGGAAACTCTCATGAAATCCACGATGCATTTTTTGTCTCCGCCGAAAGCGTTTTCTCACCTGGACCTGTCAGGTGTTGACCCATCAGATCAAACGATCGGCCTCCGAGGTGGTCACGTGGTTTTCAACAACAAAGAAGAACCGCAGTCTGTGTCTCCTCCAGGATTATCTTCCAAATTCCAGCAGCCAAATTTTTTGGAGGTCCCAGCCGTCCAGGAGAACAACTCGAGACTCGGGGCTGCTTCCAGAGACAGCCGAGTGGTACCATCCAAACGACAAATCAGCCGGGCCAACTCATCGACGTCCGATAACACCGACTCCAAGGGTCTGGTGGATTTTGCCCGTAACACCATGCAGGAGCTGCTGGGAATCTACGGCTTTGAGGGCAACGACAGCCGCAGCACGACGGATCTCAGCAAGCTGGAGGCGGGTCTGCAGACGTTTCAGGCCAGTAAACTGCTCAACGCCGACCTCCTCAGCAGGTTGTCAGACAAGGTTCCGCCGGTCGCTGAAGTGCTGCCATTGGCCAACGCTGGCCCAACCCGGCCCAAGTCTGGCATCTTCCGGAAGAACGTCTACACGAGCCTTAGTCCTGCGTCTGGTAAGTGATTGAAGAATTAATGCTCAGAGGGACGTGAAATGTGCTAGCTATATATATAAATGTCATCTTTTATCAAATGTACCCTATTTTCTGGTATATTTGCTCCTCACGGACTTGCCTATGCTGACAGAAAATTGTGAACTTTCTAGACTGAAAACCAAGTCAAATAGGTCAGTTGGAGAAATCGTCTGTGTGAAGGGTGTGGATTTGAGAGGTTTGGGTGGGGGGGGGGGGCGGTTACTTGCCCAAAACCCGCCTCGAGGGTAAATGAGAAGAGTCTGTTTTCTGGTTCTGAAAAGTTGGCAACTGTGGTATAGTACAAATAATACATTGACCCTTCAGGTTCAGCTGTTTTAGTTTTCCATAACAATGTCTGTGAGTAGTGTGTTTCCCACACACTGTGTAGGGTTCGGGAACTGAGCTAGTGCCTCCCTGTCAGCCTTTGACTCTTGTGCTCGGCCAAACAGCGCCTTTGTCCTCATGGAACTGACAGATGAAAAACGTTATGGTCGATAGTAATTCCTCTTTGATCTCAACTATCCCGACCCGCCCCCCCAAAAAAAAAACCCAACACAAACAACAACAACCAAAACAAACCCCAAACAAACAAAAAACTACGAAACAACAACAGCACCCCCCACCCAAACCCGTCTGTTTATTCCATTGCAGGTTCCGTGTCGCGATGCCCATTTCCTCAAATTATGTTGGTCATCTTCTGACCTAGTTATCTAGTCTGTCGTCATCTCGACGCCGTCAAATTCTAGTTCGTGACCTTTCTTCTGCTTCACGCGGCTTGTCTTTCTTGACTGTCTTTGTCAGTGATATTAACATTATCTGAAGGTAGGCGTGTGTTTGAACAAACGGACATCCCTTACACCTTCCTTGATTCCACACATACCGCGATGTCTTTGCTCTGGAGCACACCCAGGAAGGGAAGCCAAGATCAGAAGACCGGCCCTGTGGTGTGGCGGTTAGGCGCTTCGCTGTCGCACGCACGAGACCCGAGTTCAATTCCTGAGTAGGAAGAAATTTTAATCGAGTAGCTCCGTCTTTCTGCTGGGTTGTTGTATCCCGCTCAGCCCGGGTTGGCCCTGACAGATAGGGTCAGAAGCTCGTCTCCTGAATTATCTAAATTGTGTCTATGGGGATGTATGTGTGTGTATTTATAGATAGTTGGTAGTAGATTAATAGATAAGTGGACAGACAGAGGACTTTCTCAAAATATGCATATTTTAACTAATATATACTTTATTGTGTACAGGTATACATAAGAATAGTAAACGCACACACACACTCACACACACACAC